CCCCGTTGCCTAACACCACTAGCCGAAAAAGGGAGGGTGAGGATGGCTCGGTCCCTCAACCTCGGCTGCCGCAACATGAACCGCCACAGCATCCCGAGTCCGGCCTCGATCCCCAGCCCACGCGCCTCCCAACATCACTGCAAACCGCCGACGACCATAGCCTAAAACCACCGGAAGCCCCGACGTGAACAGCGAAGCCGACCCGGAAGACCTCTGACTTGCCAGCTAGAAAAAGGGCAAGGGAAACTCATCTCCAATCGAAGACTATCGGCCATCAAGGAGAGACCGTCCGACTCAGACCAAGGGAGCGCCACCACACTTTGCATACTCGCCGGCGTTGAAGGGAAGGCCACCAATCCCAACACATGCACGGACATCAGAGACTCGCGAAGCTACGGGTGGGCCAAGCGGTCAGAGATGACCATTGGCCGAAGTCTAATCGTCACCAAGAAAGGACAGGACCGGAAAAATCGGAAGAGGTAGACAGAATTGGGAGCGACGGATTTTGGGGGATAGGGTTCGGGAGACTTTAGTGTTTTATATTTTTAAAATGTTCTCTTTTCTAGATAATTTTTTTTATATAAATATTTTAAAAATATTGAGATTTATTTTGGATTGAATTTTTAATTTAAAATGTGTAAGTCCATGTAGAAGAACCAGAGCTGAGCAGTGGTCATATCTTAACCAAGCAAAAGCCAATAGGGGCAATCATGGGTGATTGCGGGAGACTGGAATGACATACTTTATCAGGAAGAGAAGAATGGAGGAAGATTGAGACCAGAAAGCAGTTTTTGGGGCTTTAGAACTTGTCTAACTGATTTGGTAGGCCATGAAATTCCTATGGAAGGTTATCCATTCACCTGGGGTAACAACAGACTTGCTGAGGGCTTCATAGAGGAAAAGCTAGATAGGATGGTTTTTTCTCTACACTGGCATTCAAACCACCCTCAAGCTAAAGTTATGAACATCTTCAGAACTGCTTCTGATCACAGCCTTTTGCTACTCCACACTGGCCACACTCAAACTCACAGGAAGAAGCAATTTTTCTTTGACAAAAGATGGATGAAGAAGCCCAGAATTAAAGAAGAAATTCAAAGGCCTGGGACCAACCAGTTGCAAGTTCTGCTATGTTCACACTCAATCAGAAGATCAAATCCACCAGAGTGGCTCTTTTAAAATGGAGCAGGAATTTTCAAACTAATTGTGCTAAAACTATTGCTAAGCTCACAGCTGAAATGGCAGGGTTAAGAGAACAGAGAGGTTCCAAAAACTGGAAGAAGTGGACTCAACTCAAACATCAGCTAGATGAGGCATACAAATCAGAGGAAGCCTTTTGGAAACAGAAATCCAGAGCACTTTGGCTCAAAGAAGGAGAAAAGGAATACAAAATTCTTTCATGCTTATACCATTCAAAGGAGGAAAACCAACTCCATAACCAGACTTCTAAAAGCTGACCTCGCTGTCTGTGACACAAAGGAATCAATAGCAGAATGCCTCTCTGACTACTATCAGCAGCTTTTTACTTCTGAAGGCTCACATGATGTGGGTAGGCTTCTCAGCCACATTACTACTTCAATTGCAGAGGATCAAAATGAGCAGTTGATAGCCCCAATTTCTGAAGAGGAAATCAGGAATGCTCTATTCAACATGACTCCTGATAAAGCTCATGGCTGGGATGGTATGACTCCCTCATTTTTTCAATCCTGTTGTAATATTATTAAAAATGATTTGTGCACAGCTGTCATGTCATTCTTCAATTCCAATCACATGCTGAGAAACTGGAACCTAACCCTCCTCACTATTATTCCAAAATGCCACTCTCCAATTTATGTTGGAGATTACAGACCAATAAGTCTCTGTGAGGTTATCTACAAAGTTATATAAAAAATTCTTGCAGACAGACTTAAACAATGTCTTCCATTGTGTATTAGCAACACTCAATCAGCCTTTATACCTGACAGGCAGCTAATGGATAATGTTATCATTGCACAAGAAGCCTTTCATTTCCTAAATAGACATAGGATTGGCCCCCACAAATACATGGCTTTGAAACTTGACATGTCAAAAGCCTTTGACAGAATTGAATGGGTATGCATTAAAACAATTATGGAAAAAATGGGCTTTAATATGATCTTTATCAAGTGGGTGATGGCTTGTGTTCAATCTGCCTCCTTCTCTTTCAAACTCAATGGACAGCCTACTGGTTTTGTCACACCCACTAGAGGAATAAGGCAAGGGGACCTTATATCCTCCTACCTTTTCCTCTTAGTTTCAGAGTGTCTCTCCTGCTCAATCCATCACAATATCAGTCATGGCTCACTCAGAGGCCTAAAGATATCAAGACAAGATCCCACTCTCAGCCACTTATTCTTTGTTGATGATTCCCTCCTGTATTGCAAAGCAACCAGGGAATCTGCTCATCTTATTTTGGCTATACTAGATGACTACAAATGCTTCTCAGGGCAACAGGTCAATTGGAAAAAATCTTCTGTGTTTTTTAGCAAGAACACTTCCCTTACTGCCCAAAGGAGCATCTGCTAGACCCTTCATGGTATCTCACTGCACACCTCATCAAGATACATGGGATTTCCCCTTGGCATTGAGAGATCTAAGGGTGAAACATTCAAGTATGTTACTGAAGCTGTCAAAAGCAGATTATTGAGCAGGAAGAACAAGTTCCTCTCAGGAGCTGGTAAAGAAGTTCTTGTTAAATCTGTCCTAAGTGCTCTTTCAGTCTTCTCAATGTCCTGCTTTCTACTGCCATTGGGATTATGCAAAGACATTGCCAAACTCTTTGCTCACTTTTGGTGGTCTTCTCAGAACCAAGCTAAAGCTGGCATACATTGGAAGTCTTGGTCCCTGCTTATTCTACCTAATGCTGAAGGAGGGCTCAATTTCCATGACCTTCATGTCTTCAACCAGGCTCTCATCTTAAAGCAATTATGGAGAATGGTCACCAAGCCGGATCTTCTAATGAGAAAAGTTCTCAGATATAAAAACTTCCCATCTGGTGACTTTTTTGGAGCAAAACTTACTCAGAACTCCTCCTGGCTTTGGAGGAATTGGCTCAAATTTAAAAACACATTTCTTAAAGGTTTCTTCATGCAGGTTAAGGATGGCAAGATTACTAAAATCTTTGACCACCCCTGGGTCCCTAGTATCACTGATCAGAAGCTATTGGCCAAAAGAGCTCTTTCCTCAGAACTTACTTGGGTGTCTGAACTTATTACAGAAGATGGCTACTCTTGGAACACATAGCTAATCAATAGGTGCTTCTCACCCTCTGAAAGTGTTGCCATCCTCAACATCAAAACATTGAACCCTCATCACTCTGACAAACCAGCCTGGAATTTTGATGCTAAATTCAACTTCTCAGTTGCAGCTACCTATGGCCGGTTAATATCTGATAAAATTCTCAAAATGGACCTGCCTGAGAATAGTACAATGGCTGCTGATCTTATAAAGATGAGAACAAGGAGCTGGAAGCTAAAGATTAAATGAAAAGTGAATCACTTCGTATGGAAGTGTTACACTGGTGTCCTCCCTGTTGCAGTGAACCTGAATAAAAGAGACCTCTCTATAGACACAACCTGCATGCTCTGTGGAGAAGGCTCTGAAACAATTGCTCATGTGCTCTTCCATTGTCCAAGAACGGTCAAGGTCTGGAAACTATCACCTGTTCAATGGGATGGCCCCTCATTTTTCGATGGTAACTTCAAACTTTGGTGGACCACTATTTGCTTGATCAGTAAAGGAAAGGTCGTGGAAGAAAGAGTGCAACTCTCGACTTATATCCTTTGGCAACTGTTGAAAACCAGGAATCTATGGGTCTTCCATCAGATTAAGACCCAGGAACACATTATTGTAGACTTGGCTACTAAGAATGGCTTGAATTTGGCTCTGCTCTCTCTCAAGTATAATCTATCTATGCTTTCTTAGTTATGTTGTTTATTCTTCTTCTAGCTAGGCCTCGGCAGTGGGCTAGACCTTTATTTTCAGTATATTGTTTATGTAGTTGGTAATAGCTTCCGCATTTGTTAGGCGGCTATTGCTTCTTTGATTGATGTATTATGGTTTTCTAGATAGCTCATTTTTGTAGCTTGGCCTCTGATCCTTTAATGGATTGTGGTCCTGGGTGATCCCGTGTATGAACATTCATTCCTTTGAGTTATATATATTATCGTTTCAGGAAAAAAATATATATATGTATGCATTTTTTTTTAAGATATTTGAAATCAATATATTCAATAAGTGAAACCGTATCAATTCCAAATTTACTATATTATTAACTTTGGATTTATATAGTACACCTATTTTAATTTTTAATATTACCTTGGACCCACATATTTAAATTTTTGGTAATTTAATTTTTAATATTATCTTCCACCCTTAGTGTTTTAATATTATCTTCCAGCCCACATATTAAATTTTTAGGTAGTTTAATTTTTTATATTATCTTCCATCTTTTAATTTTTATATAATTAAGTTGTTTTAGTTGGAGGAGGAGGAGATATATTATATAAACTGAACGTTGTGTTGCTAACAGTTAAAAAAGGATTATTTTGCAATTTCCATAAAGAAATGCATTTGTAAACAGTTCATACGACAAATTTGTGTTTAGATGAAAGGGAAAATGGTGCGTTGGAGTGTACTTTTTCCTTTTTTGTAGAGAAAACTTTATGTTATGTTGGTCGGTTATAATCCTTAAAAGTATTAATTGTAGGCAGATTTTTAAACAAGCTCCTCAAATCTCACAGACAAAGCAATGCTCCTGTGTTAAAATGTTCACCCAAACCAAATTGGGGCACAAATTAGAAGTGTCAAACTTTCTTAAACTTTCCTAGGAATCAAAATTCTTGCAACATTTTGCCATAAGCTATACCATCATATCTGTGGATGATCCAACAAATACACTCTTGTACACGAACACGCACGCGCGCACACATACACACACACACACACACACACAATCAATTGTTTTAGAACAAAAGGACACGACTTCAGCTTTCGGACGTCTGAGTAGCATTAGCTACATGAGTAGCACTTGGAGAAATCTCTTCCACAGTCGAGCCACCTGGACTTCCGACTACATTATCATTATTATCCGCATTCGCCGCCATTGAGGTGGGAGTAGCGGAACCAGAAACAAAAACACGATCATCAGATTGTTTTGGCCTATTTAAGGCATTGCAGTGCGGGCAGTAGTAAGTGACATATGGAAAGTCTTCTTTCCTTGCAAGCCCTATGAAAACACAGCAAGAAAGAAAAATAAAGCGAATAGAGTAAGTTCACCATAGCAACAATCCCAATTAAATTCTACTTGCAAGACCCCTCGATCAATCAATCGGTCTTTTACGCGTTGCCAATTGGATTTATTTTATGGTGAAAATCCATAATTCCAATTACTATGGGAATACATACATACACAGTTCACTTGCGTCCTTGTCAATGATATAGTGACATAATAAGAATAAGAATAATAATAATAAGGTTTATCTGTTTCAGTTTCTACTAGCAAGAACCCTGAATCAAAGACGCTTTGGCCTTTTAATTGCACTTTAACCCAAGAATTATGTGTTTTATGCAAAGACAAATCATCAACTGAACTGAGTCAAATGTTCATGACATGCGTCCATCACTGCATGATATATATCAACTGAATGAATTTTATTTACCGTTGTGCATATGGCAATTCCCACAGATAAGCGCGTACGAGTGAGCCGGGTCCTCCCCCACAAGCAAAGCGGCAAGTCGAGCAATCCATCCTCCGTCATTTGAGGTCAAACCCGCTTGAGGGTGATGCTCAACAACCAACTGATGCTGATGCTGATGCTGCTGCTGTGACAAGTCCACCCCCTCAAACCCGGCAGAATGACTGCTTTCTGTGCTATTGGTTTTCTTGTGGGACTGCTTTCTCTGTCTGAGGCCAGTAGTATTGGATGCCAGTTCGACATCCTTGCTTTTTCCAGTAGAGGCAGTGGGGTTAGAATCGTCCGCCACATACACTTTGAGACCAGAATCTGCACCCAACTTTGATGCCAGCACGGTGGCTGCAGCTGCCTTGGCTGCTGGATCCGGGTCATACCTCTGCACTCAACATTTAACAAGTAAGAAATAAAATCTGACACAATAGACAAGAACATATAGCTTTTAGTATTTACCTGTATTAGCTGTTGAGTAATGTAGTAATTGGTCTTCTCTTTCAATTCATCAATTTTAGCTTGCCTCTCAGCCCGAAGCTTTTCCAAAGTCTTATGGTCTTTCCCATCACCTGTAAATAGAATTTGTGAATATTGAATACATACAACAGCCAAACAGAGGTATTA